TATGGTGTTTGCGAGATCAGTGAAATTTACCAAACCCATACAGAGATTAATTACTGGAAATAACAGATAAAATATAGTTTTCTCGTAAGAAACATTTGATAACTATTTGGACACTATAAACATATAACATGTGAAATTTCAAAATTTTCTGATGCATAAAAATATTTTTAATGTTAAGATGAAAATTACTTTACATGATAGCTATGCAAGATGTGAAAAAAAAAAAAAACCTCAAGAGAAACATTGCTTTAAAAACCTTAAGCACTGTAATGTTTACTGATAAACTGCAAAATTTCACTAACATTCACTGACTAATTTAAAAGTTATGGCATGAAAACTATAACAAGCACAAAATGGTTACGAGGTTAGTCCCATGGACCTAACCCGGGTTGAAGGAGTTAAATTATAAAATTGAGTAATATATAGTACTAAAAGATGAATTATAATCTACAGTGATACCAAAGTTATTGACATAAATTCATGAAATAATAGTTCAATAAAATTTTGAATGCAAGTCATCAAACGAGATGACATGGCCTTTCACCCGTGACCCATCTCAAAAGAGTTAAACAACGAGAACTAGAGAGAAAAACAGCAAGAGAAGAGATAAATTGAAAAAGAGAGAGAGAGGAGAGACTAGAAACAAAAAGAAAAAGAGCAGAAATTGAGATTGCAAAACTCATCCAACCGAAAGAAGAAGGACCCAAAAATGACAATGGAGTCAGATCCAGCTGATCCAAGCTGTTCATATTTGATGAACAGAAAGATGACAATGATGCTTTCCTGGAGAGATATGAAAGATTCACCCAAAGTCAGAACTGGGACAAAGGCAACTGAGCAGTCTGTCTCAGCCCACAAAGGCTTACAAGTATATGCAGGCATGATGTCAGGTGATGCCATAGATTTTAACAAGTTAAAACGATATGAACTTACTGAAGAAGGTTTTCACCAAAGTCCAAAGACGTCAAACCTGACACTGGAGAAATCGTATTTCAGTTTGTGGCATGTCTACAGTGATATTTTCTCAGATGTACTGACATGGCCAAGTGTGAAAATAGTTTTGACTGGCAGACCTATTAGTGTGAGAACAGTTCATTATCGTATGTTCAACCAACATGTCACTGTTCTTAAAAGAGAGATCACCAAAAGACATAGATGAGATGATCAAGCTGGCAGAACAGTATATGGAAGACCTTGGCAAGTCCAAGAATATCCAGTTAAATTTGAAGCCAGTGATGGCTGACCAGAAGCAGGAGTCTACCAAAGATGACAGAAGGTTAACAGATAGAAGGGAGAAGAAATGTTATTTTTGTTATAAAATGGGACATATTGCAAAGGAGTACAAATCCATTACCAGCAAGCAACAGCAAAAATCTCAACATAAAGCAGCTAGTAAAAAAGGAGAAAAGACTGACTGGCAATATGCATGCTGCTGCCAGAAGAAACAAAATCAAAACACCTCCTCAGATTCACTACAAGAAGAAAGCATGATTGGTTGGCTCAAGTTAGCATATGGATCAACAGTACCAGTAGTGATGGAAGCATGTGACAAACATTGAGAGGTGATACCAAATCATAACATGCCAGTAAGTGAAGGATATGTTGGGGACAAGAAAGTGAAGGTTCTATGAGTACAGTACTGGGTACAGTAGTACAGCAGTAAGAACTAGTATCCGATGATCAGATGACAGGCAAGGTACACCTGTATGTGTTAATCAATGGGACAGTGAAAAAGTTTTCCATAGCAAAAATAAAGGTGGATACTCCATATTATGTAGAAGACCTTAAGACCATTGTGTATGAAGGCACCAATACACAACTTGATGATTGAAAACATACCAAGTAGTAAACATTTGAAGGAAGTGCAGAAGAAAGACTTCACGACAGAAATGTCGAGACAGTGCCCAAGAGAAAGTCAAGCACAACAAAATGAAAAGAGATTTACAAAACACAGGGCCAAAAAGGAATATTGAACAGGTCCTATCAAAACAGTTTTACTGGAGAAGCAAAACCCAAAGACAGTCAGAAACACTTCGATAAGAAGAAGGCCAAGGGTCGACATTTCAAGGACAGACAGGAGGTTTTAGTTCTGCTACCTAGAGACAACAACAAACTCACCCAGCAGTGGAAAAGACTTTTCACAGTACAGGAAATGGTAAGCAGAATGCACTATAAAATTAAAGTCGATGGAACAACTATGGTCTACTATACCAATCTGTTGAAGAGGTACTTCGAGAGGGAAGAAAACCAAACAGATGCAGTTACTGAGGTACAGATGGACATGGCAGATGTGGCTGTCACAGAAGCAAAATCTGAAGAGAGTAACTTTGTTATAGAAGATAAGGACCTAATAGCACTGAGTGGAGAGGAGACGTACAAATATGTCAACACAAGTGAAGAACTGACTGATAAGAAGGAGGTAGGGGAACAAAATCTACTGAGTCAGTATACAGATAGATTAGGAAGGACGGACACCAGGCAATATAAGATCGAGAAGAAGACAAGGGATCCTGTCAAGGAAAACCTCTACTGGAGACCCTATGCTAGGATAGACTGTCAAAGGAACTGTAAATGTTGGTGTAGACTACATGTGAAGACTTGGTATATGAACAGTCTTTATATAAAGTGAAAATAATATTTTAAATATTTCTCTTGAAGAGGGGATTATGTCAGATATAAGATACTGTTTATTGTAGGTATTAGTAATCAATTCATTTTGTGAGGGAATATTTCATGATTGTTTAGCTTTTTTTCATAACAAGCAATTACTTTAAAGGCAACAGGTACGACAAATTTGGTTACGTAACTCGGTAAGAATCGTACGCTGTGTTTATAATTCATTGATGTCAAGGCTATCAAACGTTACATGCAATCCACTGATGTCAGGGATATAGAGGTTTCTAGAAGGCCTAAGTGATAGACATATAAATAGCTGAAAACAGATGAAAAAAAAGAGCAGAAGAGAATAAAGTCGCAGGAAAGAGAAGTTTGGTCAGAGAAAAGTTAATTGTCATGGGAGTGAAAGGCCTAACAGTTGATATGTTAGAGTGAGATTAATAATTTCATAAGAGATAAGAAGAATAAGTTGTTTGGTCAAAGGATGTTCTAAAGTAATTGAATCAGCCTGAGTCAGACGATTTTTAAAGGATAGGATACAACCACAATAACTCAATGACAACATAAGTGTACAATACACGGATAGTCTGGCTACAGAAATAGAGAAAAATGGTTTGGTTTGGCAACTGAATTCTAAAGCAATTGAATAGGCCTAAGTGGACTTTTGACAAGAAGAAAACTATATAGTGTTTAAGATATAATTATGACCTCCATGGTATAAAGAATGTTTATACATACATTGAACTTGTTCCACACACACATATATATATATATATTATTTTGAAAACAAGTGGAGTGCATGCTGTTCATTTATTTTTTTGAATTTATTGCCAACAAGCCACAGACGACTACTGTAGAAGAATCCTTAGCCCAACAGACTAATATATTTACTTAATATATACTACTAAAAAGTAAGTTCTTGACACTAGTACATATGGCCTCACTTTAATAATCACGGCAATGATGTCTTCTCTATTACACATGGCCTCACTTTAATAATCACACTAATGATGTCTTCTCTATTACACATGGCCTCACTTTAATGTAAATCTCCTAGATTAATATTAACTTGATTTTTTTTTTGTATTTGGTAAATGTGCTTTTCCAACACCAGCATGTTACTTAATATATCATCAAACCTACATAAAACCCCAGTAAAATATTTTTAGTGAACAAAATAACCTTACCAGGAACAATTTGTTTTGAGCTTCTGCTGGGAAGAACTAAGTTGACACTATCAAGCTAATAAATAATAAAAACATGTATTAATATCCACTCTTTATTACACCTCATGAAATAATAAACAAAATTGAGCAAAAGGGGAAACAAAAACTGTACATTATAGAATAACATACAGATAAAAATATTATACTATAAAACGTTTTATGTAATAAATAAATGAAAAACATGGTTAAAATTTCAACTCTTATCAAATGGAAAAATTAACTTCCTAAAATATTTAATGAGAATTCACTGTAGTAAACTTAGCTATAACAGAACATCTAAAACACAGAGAACTAAAACATGACTACTTTTTAAACCAAATAGTTATATATACATGCAGGATGAACATTAACAAATATTTAACTGCACAAAGAAGCACTTGGTTTCCTCAATACAAATAAAAACAAGTATTAATTTCAGGCATTATTGAATGATCACAATGCTAACAAATACTCAAATACTACATTTGTGGAAAGAGTGAAATACACTAGTTTTACTATTAGTTTTTTAAATGTATGTATATTTGCTTTGTAATATAGTATTGTTTTGTTTGTCTGACACTTGTAAAAAGTTTTAAATGATACTGATTCACTATGATGGACTTTTGTTTAAATAAACAGCATTTTCAACATAGTTTTTTCTAAGGTATGAACATGTGCAGAACCTATACAGTACACAAATACATGATCACTTTGAGTATTTATTATATAGCTGTAAAAAACAAATGTATAGCCATTATATATCTCTACAAGATGATTATAGTAAACAAATACATAATAAAAAAATCTGTTGGATCTCTATAGTAAACAAATGAATGGACACTGACTACAGGATGACTACAGTGAACAAATACATGATCACTTTGAGTATTTATTGTATAGCTGTAAAAACAAATGTATAGCCACTACATATCTCTACAAGATGATTATAGTAAACAAATACATAATAAAAAAATCTGTTGGATCTCTATAGTAAACAAATGAATGGACACTGACTACAGGATGACTACAGTGAACAAATACATGCCCACTGTGAAACTCTGCAGTATGACTACAGTGAAGAAAAACATACCCACTGTGAAAAACAAAATTCACTACATCTGTGTTTGTTTGTTTGTTGACTTTCGCACAAAGCTACTCAAGGACTACATTTGTTCATAGATATGAAGTGATAGACATGAGCAGTAGTTCTCAAACTATAAGATGAGTCTCCCTAAGTAAGGGAGTTTACCATGGAATGTTCCAGCTGCATGTCATTTTTTAGATAAAGGTTTAGTGATTTGAAAACTAAATGTTGGTATAAAATAATCCAAAAAAAAGAAAAAGGAAAAATTATTGCAAAAATCCTTTTATTTTGCCAGGAGGCATTTCTTACAGACCATAACGTACGAGACATTTTTTTTTCTTTACATTGCATAGTTTTGCCTATTCAATCTCCCAAGTTGTAAACTATAGGAAAGCACAATTGTTTTGTTTTAGCTTAGGGGGGACTAACTATCACAAAGTTTGAGAGCTATTGGACTAGAGGCAGCTGTTCAACATCACCCATCGTAATCACTTGGACTTCTCTTGTCGGACCAAAAAATGGTGATTGACCATCATTTTTACAATGCATTCACAGCATATTTTTTCTTCCATTGACAGGGAGCAAACTACAGAAACTCGTATATCTTTATGGCAACTCTATAAATTCAATACCTGCAAGTAATCTTGAAATCTGCTATCACATTTATATTACTTTCATAATTTTACTAGAGTGAAGTCTTCTGTAGTACTGTATACAAGACAGAAAAGCAATTATGTTATAAAACTGAATAACACAATGAAACACTACCTCTTTTGATAGTTGGTATGGAGCAAACTCAATGTGTTTGTCTTCAGAGTTGGTTAGAGGTATTGATGTCTCCTCTTTCAGACTAATCTCCTTATTATCTAAAAGGGTTGAATCCATCTAATAGGAAAGAAAACGTGGAAAAATTTTCAAAGTCACGCTTTGAACATATTCTTGGATTGGACAGAGTGTGCAAGGGTAAAAAAAAACACAAAGGTATACATTATTTTCACTTAACCCTTTTGGTATTTGAAGCTTCTAACAATCTACAATAATCGTGAAGAGGCCTAAAGCTCATAGCAAGGACTGTTTTAAAGTATTGTATAATAACTAAACTGAAAAAAATGTAAATAATATTTAGTACACAATGATATAATCTGTATAAAGTACATACTTAACAAATGAACTTACAAAATTTTCTGTATCCTTTTGGACTTCAAACCCACAAAGACTAACATTCACCTTACCTGAAAGTATATTTCAGATAAATACTCACCTTTCCACGGACAACTAGCTTGGACCTGGTACTGATACCAAAAACTTTATGCACATGCATCATGCCTTTGAAAGCGCTCTCACTCCTACAAATAAAGACAATTACTACAATAGTCTATGATGCTAATTGCATCAGACTATTTCCATCCACCAATGGAAGAGCAACACATCCACTTTGCAAAATACTCATTTTATTAATCAAATGTTCATTCTTAATGAGGTAATTAGACACATAAGAAGTGGGAAGGTAGAATAGATGGTTCTGTGAAGAGGTGAATTATCTTTTGAAAATGTTAATTTTAGGCTTTGCTACTTTCCACTCAACTAAACAAATAGCTAGAATCCAATCCCACATTGAGAAGATGGTGGAAGACCAGTGTGAAAAAAAAGTACAAGATGAGCTCCTTTCTGGGACTATAGTGACAGAAAGGGAAAACTCATGAGTCATATAGTGTCTCTCACTTGGGAGGGTGGACCTAGTGGGAGAAGCACTCAAAAGGAGACGGCAAACATTTGAAACAAGGACTAGTCTTTGCCCAATACAAGTTGTTGTTTAAAAAAGTTCTGTCAAAATAATTTTCTGCTTATTGCTATGATATTGGTAAAGTAGTTGAATATGAATGCCACTCAACCACCGTATATATCCAAAACCACAGAAGTTAAGTGTGTCTAGGGCAGCATGTCAAGCTGTACAGTATGGGTGAATTACTTGCAAGAATATGTAGGTATAGAGCTGATTCATCCTATATATGCATCTCAGAAATAACTGAAGACCGGGAATGGTCTGGTTCTTAGGGTTGGAGTGACCTGTACTATTCTTCCAGGCTGACAGTCTTGCCCTACTTCAGATTGAGGGGTGTATCGACTAGGTCTCAATACCAGTGGGATTACAATGACCCAAGGAGGAACTCTCTGTTGGACCTCCTGCGGTTCTTTTGATCCACTATAAAAACTCAAAATAGATGAATTTGCATAAAAGAGAATATTAAAGAGGTGTGCAGACCTAAAAGGAATCATATCATCTACATAATGTCCCTCAATGAAAAACAGTGTAATGGATTACCACAAATAGGGACAACAGGAACTGCCTGGTTGAATGGATGTGTAGCCACTCCTTTTTCATATTTCTTGATTTGTTAAGCTTAAAAGGCATATATATATACACACACACAGATGAAGCAATCTTGTGGAAAACCTCATCTCAATAGTAGGCACTATGCAGAACAGATGGGCTGAGCACTTTTGTTATCTTATCCCCTTTTTGATGTAGATTATTTTGGGATAGAGAAGAATTCCCTTAGAGGCAATGCTGGCCACATGGTAGATTTCTATGTTGTTGTTCACAAGTTACTGCGAAGATTGGAGAATGGCAATTGAAAACAGACAAAACCAGAGACTAATAACATCACAATGCTATGTAAGCAATGTGACATAAAAGTGCCAAGGTCCTCCACATCGTCAACTGCAGAATTTTAGACAAGAAACATAGATGGCAAGAGGCAAGAAAATCTGAGATGGTGAGCCTGATGGAAAGTAGCATTAGCAAGCCAAAAAGTATCATCTCCCTTAGAGGAATAGACAAGCTTAACTTATTCAATCTAAGTGGAATGAGATAAACTTGAGAAAAGGAGTGGATCCACAGGCAGGAAAAGATAATGTTGATTACCTCTAAAGAAAGCTGTGTGAGCAAAGTAACATTGTACAAACCAAACAAGATGATGATGATCAGGGTCTGAACAATCATATATAGAAGAAACTGAAGGGAGGATGATTAGAGAAAAACATATGACCAGCCTCCAGCATCAATAAACCATCCATTTGTACTGATAAATCACATGTGTGGATGACCAACACAAAGTAAGAAAGAAAACATGCTATTCTGCATGGAACCAAACAAGTCACAAGTGTAGATGAAAAAGTGGTACATCATGGTGAAAGATGGACATCCAAGGCTAGCATAAGAGAAATCTCCAAGGTGGAAGAAAAAAAGGCTCCTTGATCACCAAGAAGCAAAGGAGTAGAAACCATGACTGAGCTGGACAAGAGGAAAATGAGAAGAACCTATCAAGGGGTGCTGTGAATTAGAAACAGTACCCTAGGTAGAAGTTGAAGAGTAAGATAGGCATATAAAAAAATGTTAAACCAATCCTGACTCAAAGCATCCACACTAAGGCCAGTACCAAAGCAGAAACACATCCTCTGACCATGCTGTTTGGAAGAATCTGGTTTGGACAAGACAGCTGATCCACCACTAAGTTCAAAGCTCCTGAGACATAGCTGACAACCAAATACTATGGTCATGGGCCAAGAAGAGCTATAGAGAAAGTAGGGATTTTGAGAGTAAGTACCTCCCTGTTGATTGACGTGAGAAATGACAGTAGAGTTACACAGATGTACCATAACAAGATGTCAACACTGATGTATTAGAAAATGATGGCAGGCCCACTAAACTGCCAAAAATCTTGAGCATGCTGATGTGGAGAGATCACTCTTCTAAAGAAAAAAATACCAGAAGCAATGAAGGTGTCCAGAAACATACTCCATATGAATAGAAAGGCATCTAAGAATGGGTGTAGTCCAAGTGAGATAGAGGAAGAGGGATGCCCAAGTCATGTGATAAATTTCTTGATATATGTTAACCCTAATTTTTTGTAGCATTGTTATTAGTACTTTACTGACTTTATTTATTTCAAATATTCAATATAGAACACAAAATAATAACATGCAGAAAGACCTATAATTATTGTAATATAGCTGGCTTTCTAATTAAGCAATAATAAAACTAAAATAATCCTTCTCAGCAACAGAAAAAATTAAATTACAGGCAGAATAATTCAAAACCAGTCATTAGAACAAGCTAGTCTTTTGGGGAATTCAGTTAATTAAAATCTTAACTTTCTATTGGATATAAATAATCCAATAACAAATGTCAGTGAGAGTTATTGCCATATTTGAAAGACAGGATTTGAGAGGACAAGGTACGTGGATTTATCTTTTTGGTTTATATCTCAGTAAAGATCTTACATTTGAACTTTAAAGTTTAGATTGTCTTAGCAATATCTTTACTGTAAGTATGAATTTTGTATTAAAACTCAGAAATTTAAATAGGAGTGAAAATAATATCTAAAATGAGCAATTTGTACCAGAGAAGTGCCACATAATATAGAAAAGACTGAGAATTTATTTAAATATTTCCTTTTGAAGTTAAGAAATGAAAACTTAAATGATAGGAAAATTTGAATGATAAATTACATCAGCATGTCAAGTTTATTGTTTGCTTGTTTTTTGAATTTTGCACAAAGCTACACGAAGACTATCTGCACTAGCCGTCCCTAATTTAGCAGTGTAAGACTAGAGGGAAGGCAACTAGTCATCACCACCCACTGCCAACTCTTGGGCAACTCTTTTACCAATGAATATTGGGATTGACCATCACATTATAACATCCCCACGGTTGAAAGGTCGAGCATGTTTGGTAGGACTGGGATTTGAACCCGCGACCCGCAGATTGCAAGTCGAACGCCCTAACCACCTGGCCATGCCGGGCCAGCCAAGTTTATTGATACACAATGATAACATAGGTGGGTTCAAATTACACAAGCCACAACCTTTTACACAGTGGCATTCTACATGGTGTTAGGTATTTGATGTTAGAGTTACTGAATATTCATTTTACCCTACATTGTTGATTTTGTGACAGTTCATCATACAGGAGAGTAAATACCTGATAAAATATACAGGAATACTGAAAAACACTGTAGATATGCATTTTGGAGTTTATAGAGATTATGCATATCCAATACACAAACTGTGTGTGATATACAATGTATTGTTATTGTTCACATGAATATCACCTTACACTCCAACATCCAAGAGTTTGAGTGAGAATGAAGTCATAAACTCACAGGTATATCTTGAGTAAAGATACTTTTGTAACACATCTGGTTTTTTGTGTACAACAGACTAGAATTTACAATCAACATTCTTTCTACATTGGATCATGCCCATGCTTATTTGGTTAATTAAGTTTTGAATGTAACTCTAAAAAGATAGTGACAGGTGAACTTTGACCTCCCCACAATCAGTGTTTAATACAATACTTTATTCACACTTAAGAAAAGTAAGTTACTTATTAAATAACAGTATTTAAAAGATAAAGCTGTTTCCTTTAACACTGATAGTTGACTTTCTTTGAAATACAGAACTAAAAATATAAATCATTAACTTTGTACTAAAACAGTTAAAGCAAATATTATTATGAGAATTTTCTTAAACACAGCATTTTGCTCTAGCTCTTAAGAATTCTAAACTAGATTGTTGAAAAATAAAGCTTATATTTCTTTACAACATGCAAATTATACAGTCAGACTACTATCTGTTAGAGAATTTATCATCACTAGAAAATCATGGTGGGATTTATCCAAAAACTACAGATTTGTTCATTTTGTTGTTAATCAAAAAGCTACACAATAAGCCATATCAGATATCAAAGCTCAATTTGTAGTGTCATAAACCCTCACAAAAACTTGAGAATGTAATTTTATAAGTCAGTCACAAAAGAATATTTCTCATACAAATCCAAACACTGTATGTTTACCAGACCCAACTAGTTTTTCTCTAAGCCCCAGAAAATATGAGCATGAAAGTAACATTTTTTTCATGTTATAACTTGTGGCAAGTAAAACATGTTTCAAACATAAACTGCAGTTCACCATTACAACATTTATGGTCTTGTTCTTTAATTTGCTTTTGATCACTATTACAAAATTGAAGCCTTTATATTTTCCAATGTTCGTTAAAATTTCGTTTACATATTTTCACAATAAAAGTATCATAACTGTTTGAGTGTAGAGAAAAAAATTAACAGAATAAAAAACATAAAAATATTTTTCAACTTTATTTCCTACTTGCTCAAGATTAAAATTAAAATTCTTCCTAAACTTTAACGACACTTTCCAGCAATCATGTAGAAATTAAATGCCTTACAGAAAAGATGCATGAAAAACTTACCGACAATGGAACCTGTAGTAGCCATAACTCCTTTGTGCCATTAAGAACATCTTCCAAATATAACTGATCTTCTATGTCACCCTCAACTGTGGTTTCAACAAAACTGCTTGGACATTTAATCAAGCTACAAATAGTAAAAAGAATCAAACATTAACATGCTGAAACAAATTATGAATGGATAATAACACAGCTCCAAAAAATTTCAAAATTTACATAATTTTTTTTCAAATCCTACTTTTGTTAAAGTGCTTGTTTTAAAAATGTTAAGCATTTAATACTCTATCCCAAATTTATTTCTTTGTCATACTGTGATTCATTTTGTTTGTTTTTCTAAACAAAGTCACATTGGGCTATCTATTGTGCCCACTGCAGGGAATTGAACCCCAAATTTTAATGTTGTAAGTCCATAAATTTACAGCTGTAAAGTATTGTACAAATGTTTTTAACAAAATTTTTGATGTATGTTCATAATTAATATCCACAGCCCCCAAAAGTGTTTATGAAAATAATGAAAATGTCTTGAAGTTCAAAAGGATGAGAGTAATGGGTAAAAAGATTTATTTATGTATGTATGTACCCTTACATACACATTTTTTAATACCTAGTTTAAAACTGAAATGCATGTGTTGAAATACAATTTACTCTGGATGAAAAGAAGAACCCCATAAAGATGAATTAAAAAGACTTGTACCAAGCATAAAGTTTTAGTTTCTTTTGAGGTATAGATATGTGTTCTCAGTTGAATAACTTAATTGTAAGTAAATATACAATACAATATAAATGTATCTGAAATAAAGTTTATATCCACTAATATAAAAGAGTTAGTTTATACGGAAACAAATTTCAACACTTTTGCACGTCCTCTTCAGTCAAACTTTTGTTTGTCAAAACTTGTTTCAACATAAACAGTGGATCAAAAATTAATATCTTCCTTACCCACAAACGTATTTCAGATAGATATTCACTTCTCTGCACATAAAGACCTATTATCTCATATGCACTGCTGTGTAAATTCCTGAGCATGCCACAATCCTTGAACAAAAAAGTTCTAGGTCTTAAACATCAACATGTATTGCATCAGCCTACAACATAATCATCATTAGACTACAGTCCTCTACCAATAGGAAAGCAACACATTCTCCATGAACAGTAATCCCCATTTGAACAAAGGTTAATTCTTTACGAGGCAAAAGAGGAGAGGAAGGGTGGAATGTGGTGGTGCAGATATATATATACCTGAAATACATTTTCATATTATGAAAATATCAACTTCAGAAATGCTACTCACCTCCCTTCCACACAATGGTGGAGGGCCATTGCAGAGTAAGACATTACATAGATGAGCTACTTTCTGAAAACATTATCAGGAAATAAAAGCCCATAAAGTGTAACATCCACGAAATCGGGGATAGCCTAGTGTGGCAGCACTAGGCGTGAGCCCACATCCATCTTTAGCTGGAAATACTGTTTGTCCAATGTTATTTTTGTATTATATATTAGAAGAGGGGTCAGAGCAAAATAAATTGTTACAAGAATCTTTTGAATGATGCTAATATGTCAATGAGGTAAGCAAAATGCAAGATTGCACAACCAGCCCTTATCTCACAGATGAACGACTGAGCATGAGTGTGTAGTGTGGCTATGGCTATAACTCAGATTGTTTTGAATAGCGAAAATACTTACATGAGACACTCACTACAATAATTAGGTGTAGAAAGAAGAATTCCAGACCAGTGTCACAAGCAAACCCAAGACCCATCTGGCTGGACCAAACTGCTGGGAACTGCTCATTTCATAATGCAGTAGGGTGTCTTGCATTGTACTAACAGGTAACACCCCAACCATATTTCCCAAACAAGAAATTAATCAACTCAATCTCAAACCATTGTGATTTCAATGCCTGATGAGAAACTCTCTATACTGACTTTCCCAGTGGCTTGAGAATGGGTAAGAAAGAGTTCTCCTGTACTCCATTAAAAGGAATGGGAGAATTCATGTGGGGAAAAACACAAAGACAGTGCTTAGACCATGTCATCAGGCACAATCATCTGGAATTGGGTTCTCAAACTGAGAAACAGTACAAAAGGTTACCACAAATATAAGATAACAAGTGTGGGCCTGGAGCTTTCTTTTTTTTCTCCAGGAATGAAGAACAGCCTGGAAGATAAAACATATAAATATTGCTGAAAAGGGTTATCACCAACAGAAGAAAAAACAAGTGGGATGAAATGTATAACCCAAATGAGCAATGCAAAGATCCACACTTGAAGGCAATCAATAGTAATAGGAGAAATTTCAACAGACAACAGGACTGAGGATGTACTTCATAAAGGGGTAAGATGACATTAACAGTATGCATACCCAAAACAAGGCATTGGAAAGTCATAGGAGAAGGTGTTAATCTAAAAACTCAGTTGAATGAATTAATGAGTAGGCACAAGCTGAGACTTGGACTCACGAACAATTCATCACAGAGAAGCTAACTAGAACATCAATATAGTGTGTTGCCGTCACTGCAAAAATCCTCTAATCATCCATGTAATAGACATGAGATGATGAAGCCAGACCAAAAATGTAGAGCCATAACCTGATAAACTATTCCAAAATGTAAAAAATGAAGATACAGAAATGATGATGAGTGAATAAAGATGTGTAAATAAGCATCTTTGAACTTCTCATTTTCATCAAAAAACCTTGAAAAAGGAACTTTTATAAAATGTTTAAAGATTCCACCTAAAATAAAAGCGTATCTAGATAACAAATGAGATGGAAAAGGTCTAAGAACAGACTCCAATCTCATGTTGACTTTGTCCCAAAGAGATGAGAATAAAACCGCAGGGGAAACAAAGTACAACATTGATATCCTGTTGTTGTGGAAAATGTTAAAAAATTCCAGGTCCAAAATCCAATATAAATTTGGAGTCAAAACTGGACAATAAACAGATAATGGAACTGAACAATGTGATAAATCCAAGGAATAAAAAGCCAAGAGTCCATAGATGTCAAAATGATGAATCCAAAAATTCTGGACAGGGGAGACATCCAAAACAGAGTCAATGAGTGAGGCAGAGAGAGAGACTCATCTTGCTTACAATGACATTAAGTTACACAAAAAGTATGAAATGTAATGAGCATTGAAGATACACCAGAACACTGGAACCTGCTGGCAAAGTATCACCTGAATAGGAAACAAGTTGAAATTAAATATCTGCAAATACAAATACTGTTTTTTTAAATATATATTTATATATTGAGGTTGACATATGAAAAGACAAGTACCTTGCAATACTCCCCTATAACTACATAATACTGATTTAAAATAAATGAGAGAATGAGAATAGCTATGTTTCACTAATTCACTCTGCAAGTTTATTTAGTTTACTGGCTACACCCATACTTATATCTAATAACTGTTGTAGATACTTCACAAAATCACTAGGTTTTCATGACATCAATTTAGAATATTCTAGGTCTACTCCCACAAATTTATTTGATTTTAACTTCCTGCACCCTCTAGCTAACAAAACAATTACATCATTAAAAATACAAATCATTAAATTACCTTTAATGAAACTCTTTAGAGCTTCCCTAAATATCCTACTATCTGGCTTATTTCAATGGGGCTAATCTCTAGCATATAATTCACCATTACCCTGAAAGTATAACAACAGTTCCAACCAGTCCATCTGTTACTTCAAGAATATCCTTGATAACCTTTCATTTAAGTCTTGGAACATGCTAAGTAATCCATTCTTGCATCTAGCCTGAGGGAGCACACATTATATAAGGTAATTCAGCAATGTTCATGCCAGTTTTTTCTTTAGATAACAGGAGACTAGATAACTGACATGAAACCAAACCAATCCGACTTTTTTCCAGTACAAAAACTGCTCAGAAACAGTGTTTGGTAAGTTTTATACCATAAATATACTTTTAGGATATAGTTTAAATTTAGTTACATGTTTTTAAACTTCAACTTGCATGTATACTCCTAGAGTTGCAGGACTAGTTGTTTCAAAGTTTTTAGCTGTCTAAAACTTTCAAAAATGTATAAAGAGAATCAATTAATGCAGCCAAGTTAACATAAAAATTGACTTTCAGTTTCAACTTTTCAGACAGATCATAACTAACAAAGTAACAATTACACACATGTACACCAGTCCTAATAGTACAAACTAAATTATTTTACTCATTTAACTTTTACTGAAATATATTGATCAATACTTGAATGAGCAACTCCTGTTTGTTTACTTTTTTACGGGAACTTTAAATTATCTTTTACTTATGTAGGTTCATTATGAATGGCTCTTAACCCTAGGAATACAGGCTGGATGGGATCCACCTAGCACATATGCATCTTTACAAAATTTTGCAACTTATTAGTAAAAATTACAGGGCTTTCATACACAAATTATTAGATCTTTAAATTCATTATAAAGATTTTTTTATTAAAGATATGCTTGGGAATTATTTATTTCAGAATGTTAACTATCCAATGTGAAAAGCAATTGATATTTTAAGATTAAGAATATTTTTCTTTATCTGAAAATTGTCAAGTTTCAATTGCGCAGTCTCTATATCCTTCTAGATAATCATCCAACATTTTTTGAATAAAACTTTATATTTAATCTGTTATTTTATCAATGTTAACTCTATATGGTGTTGGTCAATTTGACTGACCTCATAACCATCATAAAAATTAAGAAATAAATCTAAATTACTTTTTTTTTGTTCTATAATAACTGCAAATTGTAACAGAAAAACACAAATGTTTATTCTAAATAGCCAAAATCTCATAACAGTATACATCTATTTGTATTTATTAATTTTTGTTTTATTGACTTTTCAACTGTGTCTGACTAAAAATACCCCAACACAAGATGAAAATCACAAGGTGCAAATGCAGCTCACAAGCTGCTGGCACACATACCCCCATGAAGATTTTATTATTTTCCTTTCATTATGTTAACTAATAAGTTTCTATTTTTTACATTTTAGTTACTTTTATAATAAGAAATAGTGAAAACAAATGAAAAATAAAGAATATTATAATTAAATATCAAACTTTATTTTCAGTAAAGCTTTATATTTTAACTGTTATTTTTTAATGTAACATTATACTTGATTATTCAGGTTGTAGGTAAGCAATCACAGTATAATGAAAATAACAGTTGCAAATGCTAAATAAAACGTATAGTATTGTTACTGATCACAAAATTTCAAAGTACTTATGTTCAGAGTTTCCATTTCACACTTGTGTTTTGTAGTTATTGTATTTCTAGAATTTGGCTTAGAAACTAGAATAAACAAAATGAATAGTATTGTCGGTCCTTTTCAGTATGGACAATGCAGTTTCAAAGTAATTCTAATTTCTTCAGATCTTTTTTACACCTTTTTCCCATATTTATTCTACTGTTAGCAGGGGAAGTAGAAACCTGCCAAATATAAAGCAAAGAAGCACCGTTCCTGTTTAGGTGTCACTGTACTTTGAGCACTTTGACACCATCAATATCAAGTAAGCTTTTCTGGTGCAATTTCCAGGACTTTCCTTTCTTTGAAAACATAGTGGGATAGAATTTATCAACTTGTTGATAATATAATGGTTACAATGAGATTTGTCTAATGTATGGCTTTGTAAAAAGTCTGAACCAATCCAATAAACTTGATAGGTATTTTAATGTTGGCCATTAAGCAGATGTTTGCTATAGTCTATTTGAATCTTTGCTCTGAAAACATAGTGGGGTAGGATTTATCAGCTTGTTTACACAATACAGTAGTTGCAACAAGAATTGTCTATCTAAAGTATTATATAAAAGTAAGGAAAAATATTTATGATATGGTTCTGTACAAAGTTGAATCCAATCTAATTAACTTGGGTGGTTAGGATTTAGTAGCAGTATAGCTGTGAAAGTGCTTTTGAACATCCTGTTTCCTATCTTACTTACACAATAACCAATAAATGCATAGTTGTCAATATTTTGTAAGGTACAGTGAGGTTTTGGTTACCATTCATTACATATATATATATATATATATATATTATTTGCAAATAAATATTTAAATTTCAGTTATTTTTCTTAAAACATAGAACACTAAATAGAAAATATTTGGAAAACAATGATCTCCACTACTTCCAATGTTTTGAAATTATTTTATGCACTTGTGAGTCGTACTTGCTAACTCTCGTCATAAGCCTTGTCCAAATTCACATGTCGATGT